AAACGCTGATTAAAAGAGGTGAAAAATAGATGATAACCTTGATATACTTAAACGGACAAAGCCTGTGAAAATAACTCATTTAATATTTCTGTCTCGTATCGCACGGGGTACGTACTAGTGTAATTAAAATACTGTGCATTTTCGGAATCATTCAATATATATATGTACATGCATATTTTTATTATTATATTATGTTAATACTCGTTCATCAAATTAATATTTAGTAATACTAGTTTACAAAACACTCGTATATAAAGTATCTATAAGCAAATATAAATATTTCCCACTGAATAATTGATTTAGGACAAATTAATTGGCCGAGATTTTTAATGGGTATGTAGGAATCATTTATTTATTTAAAAAATAAAAAAAAATATGTGAAAAAAAAAATTGTGGAAAAAAATAAAACAGCCGGATTCTGAAAATCCGTGTTTCAAGGAAAAACTGATTTTCAGAATCCGTTTTTCGTTAATCCCGAAAGAAAAACGGATTCTAAAAATCTGTTTTACCTTAATGACGTGATTACCATTAATTAATTCACATAAAAACGGATTGATAAAATCCGTGTTCAGAAAACGGATTGTGATAATCCGTTTTACCTTTGAACACGGATTTTCATAATCCGTGTTTATTATTTGATTTTTTTTTGTTATAAAAAACGGATTCTAAGAATCCGTTTTTATGTATTTATTTATTTTTTTTTAATTTTTTTAAAACTCTTAGATGTTCACGAACTCGTTTACCAGCGATCGCGTTTATTTTAGTTGAATTTTTTATTCTTATCCTTCAATATTAAGATTTTTTATAAAATTTGATTTAACATTTTGAACACGAAATAATATCACTTTAATATCAATTCATTCGTCACACTATAAAATCTAACATGCATACATATATGAAACACTATATAGAAAAAGACAACCATAATTACCGACAAAAAAAAGTGAACAACAAAATATGTACTCAAAACCATCAAGAATAAATATCTGAACATCCAGTACAAAAAAAAAAAAAAAATGTCCACAAAATCACATAATACAAAAACAAACTAACTAAGAGTAAAATTTTTCCTAGACACGCGTCTTCGGGACCCTCTCCGAGGCCCCGGTACCAAAGAAGACGATCCTGCGGTCGGTCTAGGCGTGGTTGGTTCTTCTTCTTCTTGTCCACCTAATTAATTAATTTTTGTAGAAAATCAATAATTCGACCGGACAAATTAATAAAAAGAAACAAAAAAATATATATATTTGTAGTTAAATAAAAAAATCTCACGGTCTTCGTCTTCTTCATTCCCTCCACCAATGTGGGGCGCCGGTCTATGCCTCGCCCGCTGAGACTGTGTATGCTGGGGTGGGGCGTACTCATCTTGAGATAGAATTTGCTCCGACGACGCCCCTTGTATGACCGACTGACCCCCAACAGTCAGAGAAGCGTACAGAAGTTCCTGGGCTTGCTGGAACTATGACTGCGCTCGGGGAGGTAGCGTATCAATGTCTTCAATGTTCGATAGCATGTTATACGCCCCCTCCGTACCCGAAAACTGCAAAATAAAATTCAAATAACTATCAAATATTAAAAAAAATAATAATAATAATTACTTCAATAATAATAATAATAATAATAATAAATTACAAATTAGCAGACACTTACCTGACACTTCTCCCGGTCGGCATATGGCTGAAACCCGCCGTCCTGTGAAATCGCCGCGTAGTTGTTGGGGTCATTGAATAGTCTCACAGTCCTACTGTGATACCAATCAATGTACCCCTCTGCCGGCTAGCAGGAAGGGATCCACCGGGACATCTGGGAGGACGTTCTGATCTCTCTCTTCGGTCCAGATCCTCCCAAGATCAGCATGGAAGGCCTGCCAATCGGTGTATGCCCTCTCAGTCATGCTCTGGCCTTTGTGGCGGGTGTCCCAGTCGGCCAGACTAGTAATGATCGGCGGTTGGGGGATGGGCTGGTGGCACCGAAACTGGCGGAGCACCCTATCAGGCTGGTGGGGTTCTGCGATGTTCCAGCAGAAGATCCACCCCTTGTACATCCAAAGATATCGGTCTCGTGTGCACACTTCCAGGAGCCGACCCTCGTCTATGTACGTCTGATAGGGTACCCAATCGAACTGTGAAAAAAAAACATTTATAGAATTATTAATAAATTTAATAAAAAATAGAATTAAAAAAATAATAATTATTTATTATTATGACCTAAGAAACTTACATCAGTCTCTCTCAGGCCACTCAGCTGATCTCGGATAGTAGCCGTGCCCATCCTCAGGTGTTTCATGTCCCTCGATCCCACCCACCTTAAAAATCACAGAAAAAAATTATTTGTAATTACAACTTTTGATAATTGAAATAACTTAAGTTTTGAATATAAATAAATGTTATTATTACCTTGCACCCAAGGGACAACCAGCCTGAGAGCCGAAATGTATTTTTCTCATTAATGAGCGAACACGAGGGATGCGTTCCCATGCCCAAACCTGCACATATGGACATATACTTTTTTTAGCACATATTATTGTAATTTACAATAAATAAAATTAATCTTCAATTAACAAGTAAATAAATTTACCTGAATCAACTGCACGCAGCTCTTGATATATTTTTCCTGCCTCTCGTGGGCGTCGCAGAGCGCTCTATATACCCCGGCCAGAAGTGCTCCACCCCAGCTGTACCCTGGAATGGCATCGATGACATTCAATAGGGACAACCAGTAGAGGTTGACTCCGTTGGCCCGATGGTCGGGGAAGAAGAAGGACCCAATACACCAAAGTATCAGCTCGTTCCTCAATGTCCGGTCCTCTCATGGTAAAGCTCGTTCCTTCGCCGAAATTACTCGTCCCTTCGCCGAAATTACTCGTCCCTTCACCAAAATTACCGGCATGCGTAGTCCACGTACCCTCACCACCAAACATTCCCTCGTAACCATATGATGGCGTAGGATCCTCAACCTGTGTGTTTGCTTTCAACACTATATGCAAAAACACATAGGACATAGGAGCAGAGTAGTAAATCCACGAAAGAGAATTATCATTATTCAGTCTTCCGGTAATAAACGAACCATCCTGTTGTCTCGCCATCAAAGTAATATCCGAAATTGTCCAACTATCACGAAACCCACCATTTTCGTAAATCGTATCTACCAATTGTTCATATGATATTATTCCATTAATAACAAATGAACAATCCGGACTAGACATATAATTCTAAAAATTCCATAACTCACTCTGGGAAATTTTCCAGTACACATTAACAAAGTCTGGACCATTAGACGACATTTATAACCTGTTGCACAAAAAAATATTATATTTTACAAATTACAACAACACAAAATGGCTAATCAAACACCCCGAGAAAATTTCAATTATTATGTTACCAATCTACATTTAAAATTTCAATTATTTTACCAATCTACATTTAAAATGGCTAATCAAACACCCGAGAAAATTTCAATTATTATTTTACCAATCTACATTTAAAACTCATTTCCATCAACAACATATAATTAATTATATTTTTACTCGAACAAAAAAAAATTGTCAATTAATTTATAAAAAACACCACAAAGACCCTAATCATCTATCGACATTTAAAATGACTAATCAAACAACCGAGAAAATTTCAATTATTATTTTACCAATCTACATTTAAAACTCATTTCCAACAACAACATATAATTAATTATATTTTTACTCGAACAAAAAAAAATTGTCAATTAATTTATAAAAAACACCACAAAGACCCTAATCATCTATCGACATTTAAAATGACTAATCAAACAACCGAGAAAATTTCAATTATTATTTTACCAATCTACATTTAAAACTCATTTCCAACAACAACATATAATTAATTATATTTTTACTCGAACAAAAAAAAAATTGACAAATAATTTATAAAAAACACCACAAAAACTCTAATCACCAATCTACATTTAAAATAACTAATCAAACACCCGAGAAAATTTTAATTATTACCTTACCAATCTTTATTTAAAATTCATTTCCAACAACAACATATAATTAATTATATTTTTACTCCAACAAAAAAAAAAATTGTCAATTAATTTATAAAAAACACCACAAAAACCCTAATCACCAATCTACATTTAAAATGGCTAATCAAACACCCGAGAAAATTTCAATTATTATTTTACCAATCTACATTTAAAACACATTTCCAACAACAACATATAATTAATCATATTTTTACTCCAACAAAAAAAAAATTGTCAATTAATTTAGTAAACAATTTGGATAAATATTCAACATATATTAAACCAACATTCAAGATTTTCTAAACAATACTCAATTGACCAAATATATCACTTAAACATTCATAAACAACCAAAAATTAATATTACATTATATTAAAATAACAACTAACCTCTTCTTCGACGATTGGTTGAAAAATTGTTTTTTTTTTAATGCAGCTTCAATTCGCCAAAAAATCGAGCAAAAAACGATTGAAAAAAACGAGAGGAGAAATGGAATGGGAAAATTTGTTTTTTTTTTTAATTGCAGCTTCAATTCGCAATAAAATCGAGCAAAAAACGAGAGGAGAAAATGAAATGAGAGAGGGGAAATGAAATGGGGGTTGGTCTCGGACCTATATTTATCAAGCGAAAAACGGATTTCCAAAATCCATTTTACTCGTTTTTTTAAATGAAAAACGGATTTTGAAAATCCATTTTATACCGTGGATGTATTATTATTATTAAATTCGACCGTTATCTTTTAAAAAAATAAATAAATCAAAACTAAAAACAGATTGTGAGAATCCGTTTTTCTAATAAAATTTTATTAGAAAAACGGATTACGAAAATCCGGCTGTTTTATACTTTTCCACAACTTTTTTTTTATTTTTTATTTTTTGCCAAAGATTTTTATTTATTTTTATATATATAATGCACCCGCTGCACNGGTCAGAACCTATCCCGAATTTCCTCAAGCGAAGCCTCACTTGTCAATTTAATTTCTTTAATTAGTAATTACTATGGGGGACGAAAACAGACCAGAATCTGTGGAGGAAGATTATAGCAGAGACGAAGGAACTGAAACCCAAGATGAAGAAGAAGAAGAATCAACCGACGGAGAGGAATATTATAGCGGAGGATTCGAAGAAGAAGAAGAGGAAACGTTACAAGCCCGAGAATGTAGCTCAGAAGACGATTCAACAGACGGAGAGAGTTTTTCGCTGGAAAGCATCATTTTAGCGGTGTCGCTTTCACTGAACAAACGAATTAGGGATAACTCGATCGATCGGCTGAGTAGGCTTCCTGATGACCTCCTAATCCACATTCTCTCTCATCTCGGCATGAAGGGAGCCGCCGCCACCAGCGTCCTCTCCAAAAGATGGCAATACCTCTGGCACAATTTGCCAAACCTTAGGTTCGAGGAGAGCAGCACCAGGCTCAAAGAGATACGCAAGCTCGTGGCACGTGTCCACAGGACACTCGTTCTCCGCTCAGGGAACCACCTAGATGAACTGTGGATAGACTTCTCATATGACGAGAGTTTTGCCTATGACGTCAATACATGGGTTGAATTTGCTGTCAGGAACAAGGTAAAGCATCTCACCTTGAAGCTCGACTCCTTTAGAGATTTCTATGTACTTCCCCTGGTGGTTTGCTCCTGTTCGTCCCTTGTTCGGTTGTGGATGAAAGGGTGCATTGTGGGGCCCAATAGCAGGGTCAACTGGCAAGGTTTGACCGATCTGTTAATAGAGGATGTGTTGCTCGACGAGGATGATGTTCAAAAGGTATTATCTGCTTGTCCTGTTTTGAGTAGATTGGGTCTAAGAGGGTGCTGGGGATTCTCGACTTTGGATATTGGCTCTCGGAATCTTGTCGAGCTTTCAGTAGCCGAGTCTGAAGAGGTGAGGCTGCTGGAAATTTCGGCACCGTATGTACGCTCGTTGGATATTTCAATTTATACTTTAGGTATGAGGTTGCGGCTGAGGAACATGACTTCCCTTGTTACGGCTTTTATCAATTTTGCCGGGGATGTTCACGACTCTCTCCCGGATAGTGAGCTTGTGATGAAGCTTTTTGAGGACATACAACATGTCAAGAAGCTCGAGCTAGGATGTTTATGCATCAAGGTTTGTATTGATGCCTCTAGACCCTTTTTTTTTGTGATTAATTTCTTCTTTGTTTAGCATTCGTGTTTCACTGTGGATGTTTATGTGTTGATGCCCCTTGCCCATTTGATATTCTGGGATTAGGTTACATGGAAATTATGCTTATATTTTTTGTTTCACTTTGCTGTGTATTGCTGAGACTTGTATATGTATACATGAGTAAGAAGGCACTTTATCATGGACTTTTTGGACAAAATACATTTCAGTTAGGGAGAACAAACCTGTCGGGAGAGGTTTATGCTTACTTTAGGAAATATCCTTTTCTGTTAAAATCTTCTTCCAACAAAGAAATACATGAATAACAAAATTCAACTGATCTCCATAGTGTTAAAAAAAGCGTCAGTTAAATCATTTATGGTCCGGGTAGTTCTCATACTTCTTAGAATTTGAATATAGAATCATACTAATTTAGAGACAGATGTATTCTTGATGATGGTGCAAGTTGAGATTGAGAACCAAACAAGTCTTAAGACTTATCCGAATGGAGATTCACTTGCCAAAATTGTCAGGACAACCTTCCAAAGATAGTCAAATTGCCCAAGCGTAACAAATGCTACATAGAAACCTCTGAGCAAACATAGATAATCGCTGCTGGTTCTGACCTTCAAACAATATGCTCGAAAGAGTAAAAAACCAGTAGAACACTTTTGAGGATTTCGTAAATCTTCCAGCGCAGCTACTAATTTAATTGATCTCTTTTGAATTTCTCAGTAAGAATTGTTTGTATGACACAATGTCGTAATTAATGTATGTATTAAATTCAAATTATGCCAAGTTTTTTCAAGATCTATGGCCAGAATTGGCATAGTTGAACCGTATATATATATATATATAGATCTCATAAAATTATGATGCTTTCCAGATGTAATCTGAATCATTGCAGTTACTAGACATGGTTTTCTTATCTTAGAAAGAAAGCTTCGATTGGCCGATTTGCTTTCCTCTTTCCAATCTCCGCGGACTTTCATCATGTTTTGAACTCTCTCTCTCTCTCTCTCTCTCTCTCTCTCTCTCTCTCTCTCTCTCTCTCTCTCTCTCTCTCTCTCTCTCTCTCTCTCTCTCTCTCTCTCTCTCTCTCTCTCTCTCTCTCTCTCTCTCTCTCTCTCTCTCTCTCTCTCTCTCTCTCTCTCTCTCTCTCTCTCTCTCTCTCTCTCTCTCTCTCTCTCTCTCTCTCTCTCTCTCTCTCTCTCTCTCTCTCTCTCTCTCTCTCTCTCTCTCTCTCTCTCTCTCTCTCTCTCTCTCTCTCTCTCTCTCTCTCTCTCTCTCTCTCTCTCTCTCTCTCTCTCTCTCTCTCTCTCTCTCTCTCTCTCTCTCTCTCTCTCTCTCTCTCCCTTTCTCCTCTCTCTCTATAATATATATATATCTTTCTCTAGATTAGGTTAGAACATGTGGTGGATATAAATTAAGGCTCCTCATTTGGTTTATAGCTCTCTTCTTTTGGTTTTGGGCTTTCTGTTGATCTCTCTAATTAAACCCGAAAATCGGCTGTCGCTTGTTATTCTCACTTGCTGTACTTAGGCCGAGATCATGCTTCACAGGCCGTCACTCCTTTTTTCCCTTAAATCCTCAAGATATAGACCTTGTTTGGCAATCAATGGTTAGCTATTAGCGGATTGCATTAGCTGGTCAAAGCGGATTGTGTTAACGGTTTGTAAAAGAATGTTTGGTAAAATTAGCTATTTTAATTAGCTGTTAACATGTAAAATTACTTATAAGGACATCAACATACTTTAACATTCTTATTTATGTTGAAATTATAATTTTTGAGGGAAAAAAAAGTAATATTAAATATTTATTAAAGTGATTTAAAATATAATAAAAATATAATTTATCATTCTTATTTATGTTGAACTTATAATTGTTTTGGGTGTTGTTAAAACTTTATTATCAATTTTACGACAATATCTTCACAGGATAAAACGTTTTTTAATTACCTCGGCAATTTTTGCAAATAATTAGTCATATACACCAATTTTTATTTACAATTATAATTATTAAAAAAAAAACTATTTGTTTTATTTATAACATTTACTAAAAAAATTAAACAGCAACTATAAACTAAACACTTTTGAGATGTTTGTAATTTTTTGTCTGTGTCCTTCCTTCCACCCATTTTTTTTTTAATTTCTTAATTAAACACGACATTTAGTGTCCAATTTCCATGCATTTTTTTTCATCTATTAGTAAGTGAAAAACTACTAAATTGTGTGTATGCATTTAATTGTGTGGGAATTAAAACACTGGCTAGTGTACGCATTTAATTGAAAACAACTTAAAGGAAATTAGGTTAATTAGAAAAGATAAGAGGTTAGTTGTGACTTTTAATGTTTTTCCTCATAAAAGCCACTTCAAAATGCTCCTCTTGGCAGCGTATTCATTTTTAGCTGATTGTACAAAACAGTTGATTGCAAAAGCCAATTACCAAACATGTTTTTTGGGTTGGGTAAGAAAAAGTAAAAAAAGCTAATGTAAAAAACGCCAATGGCCTTGTTTGTTTAATTTGTTTAATGGCTTATTGCCATCTATTGGCGTTTTTTACATTAGTTTTTTTGACTTTTTCTTACCCAACCCAAAAAACATGTTTGGTAATTGGCTTTTGCAATCAGCTGTTTTGTCCAATCAGCTAAAAATGAATACGCTGCCAAGCGGAGCATTTTGAAGTGGCTTTTATGAGGAAAAACATTAAAAGTCACAACTACCCTCTTATCTTTTCTAATTAACCTAATTTCCTTTAAGTTGTTTTCAATTAAATGCGTACACTAGCCAGTGTTTTAATGCCCACACAATTAAATGCATACACACAATTTAGTAGTTTTCCACTTACTAATAGATGAAAAAAAAATGCGTGGAAATNAGAAATTAAAAAAAAAATGGGTGGAAGGAAGGACACAGACAAAAAATTACAAACATCTCAAAAGTGTTTAGTTTATAGTTGCTGTTTAATTTTTTTAGTAAATGTTATAAATAAAAAAAAATAGTTTTTTTTTTAAAAATAATTATAATTGTAAATAAAAATTGGTGTATATGACTAATTATTTGCAAAAATTGCCGAGGTAAATTTAAAAACGTTTTCCCTGTGAAGATATTGTCGTAAAATTGATAATAAAGTTTTAACAACACCCAAAACAATTATAAGTTCAACATAAATAAGAATGATAAAGTATATTTTTATTATATTTTAAATCACTTTAATAAATATTTAATATTACTTTTTTTTCCCTCAAAAATTATAAGTTCAACATAAATAATAATGTTAAAGTATGTTGATGTCCTTATAAGTAATTTTACATGTTAACAGCTAATTAAAATAGCTAATTTTACCAAACATTCTTTTACAAACCGTTAACACAATCCGCTGGTCAAAACAGCTAATGCAATCCGCTCGTCAAAACAGCTAATGCAATCAGCTAACAGCTAACCGCTGATTGCCAAACAAGGCCAATATATGGCAATAAGCCATTAAACAAACAAGGCCATAATTGGCGTAGCTTGAATTTATTCCTATGAAACGTATAACATCTACTTAATTTCTATAAGTAATTTTGGCATGTTATTATATCAAATAACGAATACAACCAAAATAGAATCACAACATCATACATGGGGTTTTTCGTACCCAAATTGTCCTTGCCCTTCCAATTAAGGTCCAACTTTCTTCACGTCTTGTATTGAGATGTAATTTTCTCCCAATTTACCAAACTCATCTTCTTTCCTCCCACAGAAATTAGTCTGATGTAAGGGCAAATCTTCATTTATTACACAACTTACCGTTCGTTCTAACTATTGCAGTGAGGACGGATCGGATCATTGGGAAGAAGTGATTCAGCAAAAGCTCTAAGGGGGCGATCGGATATAAATCAAAATCGATCCTGATTAGATTTTGAGTTAAAGTGAGTTAATCTCCCTTATATATAATTTCCGAATGCGTTGAGCCTAATTGGCAGGCTCGTATGCTTCGTAAGCTTATTTGGCATACTTGTTTGGTTTCGAGTATTAGGCTTGAGAATTACCATAAACTATTTTAGCTTTCATTTTTTCTTAAGTTACCATATACTACCTTTTCTTATATAATTCATATATTAATATTAATTATCATTAACTATTATTTTTTTTACTTTTAAATCTTTATCACTTTTTTATTTGTATTTTTATTTTTTTGGATATAATATATCAAAATAATCATATTTTAACGCGATTTCACATTCATATTGCATATATACAATAAAAAATAATTTCAACCATCTTATAAATAAACTTAATTGTATTATCAAATCAAGTTAGAAAATACAAAATAACAATATAAATCAATTTATAAAAATAATAAAAAGTAAATTCATCAACACACCATAAAATAATCAATTTAATGTGTTTTTTTCATATGGATAAAATATGAAAATTAAGTATTACATGAAATAAATTATAAGAAATATTATAAAATATTATTTCTCGATTTAAGCAGATCATACATATAAGGAGTTCAATGCTATTATGTTGTTTAAAATTATAAATATAGAGAAATATAATAAAATAATTTTTCATTTCATAAATTTAGAAAATATAACATTTCTGCGTAAATTAATATTCTAAATTATTAAATTATACGAATTTTAAATGCCTGAAAAATTAATAAATGAAATACACTGACTCTATAAATATAAAATATAATCACAATAAAATAAAACATGTTTGTTTTAAAAAAATTCGAATCAAATATATGGAGTGGTAAAACTTACTCCCTCTTATTTTTTAATAAGTGTCGTTTTGAGAAGTTGCACAATAACTAAGAATATCTTTTTTGCCAATAATAACCCTCATTGATGAAGATAGAGATGGATGTTTTGAGAAAAGATGACGAGTGAATATGAAAAGACGTAGTGTAATTTTTAGCTAAATGAGGGTAATAATGAAAGAATATGTATAAAAGATCCAAAACGTCATTTATTTGGTTAATGGTTGATAAAACTAAAAGGACATTTAAAAAAAAAAGGAGATAATATATGTTTTTGACATATATAATTTTAAAAATATAATTAAAAAATATGATTGTTTTACAAGTTTAGTGTAAAAATACGAGTGCCATTTTTAATTAAATATCATTTTGTTAGTTATTTATTATTATTGTTTGTATATTTATATACATAATTTCATAATAAAAATATGAATTATTTTAATTTTTTATTGTACAAATATAAATATATTTAAATTTAAGTATTCGTGTAGTACACGGGTATCGTACTAGTTTTAAATAAAATTGATTGAGTGGGATTTTGAGTTTGTACAACAACACAACAACATACCCAGTATATTCCCAACAGGTTGGGGTCTAGGGGGTCAGTTGTACGCAGACCTTACCCTTGTAATTATACAAGGAGGCTGTTTCCGTAGCGACCTAAGGTGCATTGCGCCGTTTGATATATTTTTTTTTCTAGAAACTTCTATTACTAATAGAAGAAGCACTAGAATTTAAATAATTTTTGAGTTTGTATTTAAATAATTTTTAAAATGTAATGATTAAAGTTGATGTGACGTAAAAGTAGGTGAGAAGTAATTAAATATGATAGTTAGTTAAAATATGTTAGATGAACATTGAATTATATTGATAATATTGATTGATATTATTTAATTATATTGATAATATTGAGGAAAGTTGAGTTAGATTAAATTTGAGTTGGATTTTGAGTTAAAGAGTGAAAAAATTATCCAATCAGTCAAAACCGGTTTTAATATGTAGCCAATCGCTCCTAAATGATTGTAACATTTATTTCCTACTACAACAACAACATAGCCTTTATTATGTGCTACAGATATTTGCCATTTTGATATGAGCATTGACAAAAATAGAGTAGAACAATGTTGTGTATCTCCAAATTAATTGTTGGTATGCGTGGGGAAGTGAAAAATCTGTAGAAATACATGGATAGCTATACTTGCTTGATATGTTAGCCACCTGAGATTTATATTCTATTTTTAATTTTTTTCTACTTTTTTTCGCATGATGTATGTTAGGTTCTAGCGAGACTAGTGTTAAAGAGCCACCACCTTCCACAGTCTAGGCGAGACTCTTTGATAATTAAATCTTGGAAGGATGAGGATAGCATTTCAGGCATTCTAGCCCTTATAGAATCTTCTCCATGCCTCGAGACACTTGTTGTACAGTGCAGTGACTTCAATGAGGACTCCCATGAGGTATCTATACAGCTCCAGTTCCTGGAAATTTATGCGATTTACTCCTTAATATATTTGTGTTGCTTATGATCCAGGATAATGTTTAGCATCTATTAATTAGTGTTATGTTGGCAGTTTTGAATTGAACTTTCTAGTATCTTTCAACTACAGTTTGCCTTAGAGTTTTTCACATTTTTGCGGCACTGATAACATTTGTTTCTCAACTTGTATGAATATTGATCCATCACATATATTCATGTATTCTTCACATGTGAAGCATTACAAGTAAAATACGAACAATAATTTTTCCAGGTCAGAACAATCTTGTAATCTCACGTAAGAACATATGATCAATTAAACTGGTCAGAATGTTTTAGTTCGTTAGTTCCATTTGGAATCATTCTGTTTTTAACTTTTTTCATGTCTGAACATTCGCACAAATCGAAGACTGGAAAATGACATTATTCCATCTTCCTTGTACTGTGGCCAATTGTTCCTTGATTTCTGTTGGGACTGATTTTCCTATGGTTATCTTTGTGTGGTTCATTTAGGAAACCATCTGGACATTGGGTCCAGCCGTAAAGGATTTGGATTGTGACTTGTTGCATTTGAAGAGAGTTCAATTACTCGACTGTGCTGATCCGTATCTTGAAGGCGAGCCAATGCTAACACTGGCCAGAATCCTGCTTAAGCGGGCACCAGTTTTGGAAACTATAGTTGTTGATGGAAATGGATACTCGCCTGATGAGTCTCTCAATGTGGCTCAAGTCCTTCATAGTTGGCCCAGATCCTCCCAAAAAGCAATTATCACTTTCAATCAATGATCCTGAAATTTGTTCAGCAACGGTGATTCGCCATTTGGCGATTTAATTATATTGCAATAAGAGTATGTATAAACCAGTTATAATGTTTTTTTTTTTTTTATAGAAAATCCGAACAAAGTTATTACAGTAGACACAAGTGAATGAGATAATCTACAGGGTTTAGAAAGATGGTGAAGTAGCAATTTATTTGTATCAGTAATATGATTTTGGAGGTGCATTCATTAAACCTGTATCCTTATATTCAATGTATCATATTGGAAAAAATGTTACAATTCTTTATGCTGAATCCAGACCAGTGACCGATATTTCTCCTTTATATGTGTGTGTGTGAAAGAGAGAGAGACCACATTATTTATACTTTTGAAAATGATATCTCTTGAACTATGAATATCTCATTCTTGAGTTGGTCTTACTAAATATGATAGTTCATAAATACTAGGATTGGTTCAAGCGGATGAAATGAAAACGAAGCACATTGTGTCGATCGTGTTATAGAGTGTATTTACATAAATTATTGCATTGTGTCGATTGTGTTATTTATATAAATTATTGCATTGTGTCGTGATATGAATAAAGTAGTGTTATATTGTATTTACATAAATTATTACATTGTTTCGTTGTATGGACAATATAATTTACTATATTTAAACTCATAGAGTGTAGATGTAGAATCTCGACTCTCTAGTGAAAGACAGAGCCCGCGTGGATGGATAATTGTTTTGGAATACGATGTTCAAAATAGAATTATTTTTAAGTTATTTCTAAATATTTCATAAATTACAATATAATATAATTAAAAACCAATAACAAAAAATAAATCATAAAAAAGTGAGTATGTATATATGTATATGCGTGTTTTTTCGTTTTGGGATGGGATTGGGAAGGTAAAACAGTTTTTTGCATTTCAGATTGGCCTAAAAGTAAAAGGCCTACAGCACACTCAAGCCTGAAACCCTCAATCTGGTTTTGTTTGAAATTATTCGCACCAGAGAGAGCGGGAGGCGCAACCATTTCCTCGATCGGCTGCGAGCTTTTCCCTTTCGGATCTTGCTTTCACCCCCTAACATTGAAGACTCTAATGAGTCGTCTATTTTGCTTGAAGCGCCCGTTTTTAGCCTAGTATGTGGACAGAATCGCTTTCCAATTAACGAGGAGGTACTCTGTCATTAGCTAGCCTTTGGAGTACCTTTGTTTTGTCTAACCCAGGTTTCTATTTGTTGATTCTTTCCTTGTGGAAAGAGATCCAAGTTCCCTCTTCTGAGGATGTGGTTGGAGTTGACGTCAGTCAAAGTCACTTTTCAGGCTAAATAAGAAATTAGTTGACCTTCGCGTGATCTTGATGAAGCCTATCGGAAAAGACAGACAAAATGAGGTTTGAATCGCTATAATCAGAGCGCATTTTTGCCTAATTTTCTGTTTCTAACTAAATGCAATGAGTGGCCAAAGAGTGGCGGATGAAGATTTTGGCGAATGTGGACTGAAAAATGAAGCGGCAAGGACGAGAGAAGTATTTGCCGCAGACAAGGGACGGGCGCTGTCATCTGACAATAAACGGGCTAAGGAGACAGCCGTCGATAGGCTGAGTGAGCTGCCAGATTCCTTAATCATCCACATCCTTTCTTTCCTGGGCTCTGATGTGACCAAAGCTGCTGCTACCTGCGTGCTGTCCAAAAGATGGCAATATATCTGGCCTCAACTGCCTAGGCTGGCCTTCTTGAACCGCACATGGGATTTGGAAAAATCAAGCAATTTCGTGTCATGGGTCCATAGGACCCTTCTTTTCCGCACCACTACTCATTTGGAGGAGTTTGAGGTCCGCTTTCTGTACGACGAGTGCTATGCCTCAGATGTCAACGCTTGGATACGCATTGCCCTTAGAAATAGAGTGAAAATTCTTAGCTTGCAACTCCATTCCGAAACATGTCTTCACATTCTTCCCCAGGTTTTGTATTCCTCTTCTTCCTTGGAGTCCTTGTCCTTGAGTCGCTGCATTTTGGGTCCACAGAGCACGATTGAGTGGCCATCTTTGACTTGGTTAAGTGTTTGGAAAGTGGAGCTAAATGAAGGTGTGATTCAAAAGATACTATCATGTTGTCCTGTTCTGCGTATGCTGGGGCTCACATCATGCTGGGGATTCAGGCGTCTGGATGTAAATTCCGAGAGTATTAAAGACCTTACGGTGTTGGACTATCAAGATAACAGCATATTAGAATTGATGAATATCTCGGCACCCTTTCTACACGGGTTACACATCTCATTTTGTCCAATACAGACAAAAGTGCAGCTCATGAATGTATCATCCCTTCTTAGTGCCAACATCGGTTTCTGTGTACCCAATGTAAATGTATCTGTTGAGGTAATGAATGACACAATGGAACTTCTTGAAAAGACTCAACATGCCAGTGGACTTGTACTAGGAGGCGCATGCATTAAGGTATAAATCGATACTATTAATTTGCATTCTTGTTTATCTATTGGCCTTTCAAGATAACTTCACAGTTTGGTTATATTGAGTTTGTCCAGATATCTATTCAGTCATTGTGGTATTATTTTCGGTTATCTCATTGAGTGAGTTTTCGAGTATGAATTTCAAAATTTTTTGGAAATTACTTCAAAAAATGAGTGCATGGAATTGCTTGTCTTCTTTTAATTTGCTTCCCAAGAATTATGTGTATGAAAGTATTGGGTGCCAAGAACAATGTACCAAGCATTTATTCCATCTTATAAATGAGTTACGGACATGAAGAGATGGATATTAATTTTTGTCAGCAAGCACTACAAGTAGTGAACCACAGTGAATACAATTGGATTGGTTTTCTTGCTATTGACCGAGACTTGGGGATAATATGTTTATTGTCTCATTACATGTTGGTTGATAACCATAAATCTGCAATGATTTTTCTAATTTCAAATGAGTTTAGTAATTTATGCGTAAATGGGTAGCGAAAATCAATCATATTCTTTTGTAGTATGGAAATTTCCTGTTTTGATGGGAGATCTAGCACACAACTGAGTTTCTTTGTTTATATGCTACTGTAAAATGTATGTTAGGTTCTATCAAAGTTGGTGGCGCGTGGGTGGCGGCCTCCACAATCGTCTAAGCGAAATTGGTTGTCGTTAGAAACTTTGCGGGAGGAGATTAGCATTCCCGGAATACTTGCCCTGCTCGAATCTTATCCAAACCTCGAGACGCTTCTTATAGAGAGTTGTGACTCTTACAAGGTATATAATTCATTTCCAATTTAGGTGGCTAGCTCAATATATATTTGTTTCATGCTTTCATTCAGACATTATAGACGAAAAGTAGCATTTGCATAACTAAAAAAAACCCCTAGGTTTGTTCCAGCATCGAAATAGTAAGGAGCATCAAAATAGTAAGGGGCTAACTGTAATAGTCCTTCTAATATGGTTTACCCTGGTGGATTTAGAATGGGACATGAGTTTACACTGGTAATCCCAAATTGAAAAAACTTCACATGATTACAAAATTAAGACAATTAAATATACCAAGAAAGAAATTACTTGCGCTAAGGACCACTAGTTCACTACTAATTATTCATTCACGAAACAGTAAATTTATTTTTTCTTACAATTGTTGAGTAGTTTAATTTGTATAGTTTATTTGGTTAAATTACTGATGAGTTTAATCTAAATTGTATGCAGTTGATTTGTACTATGTATTAATCATTCAGTATAAGTATGCTTTGTTGTTTGAAAAAATTATGAGGGGTCGATCCGCATAACTGTTAGACCGCCTTGCGACAGAAATTGTGTTTTCTTGAAGGAGGCAAATGTTAGAACATAAAATTCAAAGGGCATAATTTCCGAGGGCAAGGACATTTTTTTACAGTTAACTCTTTACAAAATATAACTTGTTAACGGATTTAGTTTATATTTAAAATCTTTGTCGGAAGTGGTAGGTGAGAATTGTAAGTTTTTGTGCTGATGACCCGACTTATTTTAAAGTTTTAAAATGCTTCTAGTACTTTTTAGCAACGGAATGCTGTCATAACTATGATTGATGATTCTTCAGGCTAACATTCGTAGTAGCTTGAAGTAGGGTATTTTCGTTATCATCTCCATTATTATTCAAGTATTCATGGTAATTTTTATGTTGTTGTTATTATTCCTCTAGGAATCTGTCAGGACATGGACTCCTGCTGCAAGGGATGATTTGGATCTTGACTTAGCGCACTTGAAGACTGTTCGTTTATTTGATTTTGCTGATCCCAATTTAGGCGGTGAGCCAATGCTTACGTTGGCCCGAATCTTGCTTAAGAGAGCCACGTCATTGAAAAAGATGGTGATCGATGCACTTGAAAATGTAACCAATTTTTCATCAGATTTTGCAAAGATGTCTGAAACAGTAGTTAGTTACCCAAAATCCTCGGGAAAAGCAGTGATCATCCTTCGTCAATGATCACATAATCATTTGTTAAACAATTGACTATTTGCCTAGGTGCCTCCACTCCGCAGATCATCCTCCGTCAGTGATCACATAATCATTTGTTAAACAATTGACTATTTGCCTAGGTGCCTCCATGCACTTACCACCCAAACGACGCCCCTCTTCGCATTCGTAGTCTTGTGCGGATGGGCTAGATTGGCTAACCATCTCTTACAATCTAGTAGCCGCTTTCTATTTTTTGTGTTTTGGCCCACTTTGTGGTGCTGTTCGCCTGGGCACCTGTCAGCTCGGGTGTCAAGCCTGTTCAAGTTTTTCTTTTTTCTTTTTTTTTTTCTATTTTTTTTTTGTTTGTGTTTGTTTTTTGGACATGTGTAAACTTTTGATTTTTCCAACCCAATTAGGGTCTTGACTATTTACAAGTTGTGTTTTTTTTTTGTTTTTTTTTTCTTTCTTTCGTTTTTGTTTGTGTTTGTTGTTTGGACATGTGTAGACTTTTGATTTTTTTCAACCCAATTAGTGTCTTGACTATTTACAGGTTGAGGATCAGACCTTATAATTTGCACCCTTCCGGGGTGTTTCTTCTTAAAAAAAAAACAATTGACTATTTGATATGTATCTGTATTTAATTTGGCCTAATTGCCGTTAATATTACAACCTTACACGTTTTGACAATTATATGCACCACTTTTAAATTTGGCAAACATATACATCACATTTGACTATTGTTGGCAATTCGAATCACAATGTCCAATTCGGGATTTGTTTGCTGACATGACTACTGACATGGTGATTTTTTGCTGACATGGCTTTAAAAATTTAAATGACGCTAGGGTTCGAACTTGAGACCTCAAGGTTGCCTTGAGGCATTGTGACTACCACACCAATCCAGATTATATGTTAAATCTAATAGCGTCCAATATGTATATAATGTTAAATGAAAAAAAAAAAACTAAAATAAAGTAAGATAAAATTTATTATAGTAGAGTGCATTTAAATTAAATTAAATATATTTAAATTTATATATTTCTTATTTATTAAAATAAAATTAAATATATAAATTTAGAAATAAAAAATAATAATAATAAAATTAAATTAAAGATAAACTAGATTAAAATACACTAGTTAAAATAAAATAAAAAAAACATAATATAAGATAATAAACTATAAAAAATGGTAACGTAATATAAAATAATTATAATAATAAATTATAGAAATTATTATGAATTAATAAATTAAATTAAATAAAAATCTGAAATGAATATAATAAAAAAAAATATTACTACATTCTATTTTTTTTAAATGTCATTTTGGCTTTATCAACAATTAACCAAATAAATGACGTTTTGGATCTTTTGTACATATTTGTCGATTATTATCCTCATCTAGCTAATAAATACACTACGTCTTTTCATATTCACTCTTCATCTTTTTATCAAAACATCCATCTCTATCCCATTAATGAGAGTTATTATTGACAATTTTTTTTTTTTT